CTTTGGGGACATTAAAAATGGAAGCTAAATTTTTTTTGAATCGGCCTAGTAGAAAGGGAGATATAGAACTGTCTCTTTTTTTGTTGTAAGGTGTACCTGTAAATGCTTCTGCATAAGAGGGACCTATGGTCGAACCACCTCAGCATCCATAATTTTTATTTGAGATATACGCAAACATAAGTCTGCATATTTTACCTAATTAATTTCTAATTGTAGTATTCCAATTTTAGTATAGATGAGCACCCATGATAATATTTAGCTGCTTAAATATGTACAGACATAACATTATGTTGGGACCGGGATTCAAACTACGCCATTTGCTTATTAGGTGTTCTAACACTTACACTACGAGAGACAAGAAGAAAAATGTCATGATTCTTTATAAGTAAACAAGGGAAATGTAAATTAAATCATTCGATTTTGCTGAAATTTTCCTCTACTGCAGCTTTTGTCAGGTATAGCTACAGTGCAAAATATTTTTTCCAGATTACAGTTTACATTATAAAACATTTTGCCAATTTACGTGGAAGAACGTTTTGTAAATGAATATTCAGTCTTGTTATTAGTCCAAAGGGGCTTTGTTTCTGAAGGACTATTGTTTTCGTTTTGCGATTTTCCGTTGAATCACTATAAATGTCCGTTTTACTTTTCAAACTGTTGCCACCCAATGTTAGAGTCCTGCATTATATTTGAAGAAATTAAATAATGAAAAGTCTACATAAATGTATGCATATTTCTCGCATTGTGATAAAACAGCGGTACATAGAGCCATCGAATTTTGAATGACGTATTCCTCCTACGAATATGGGCATGTGGAAGACCAAATTTGAAATTCGGAATTTGTTTTGTGATCGATTTCATATTTTGTAAACCTTTAACGAATTTTTGAGTAACAAACTCAACGATTTAAAAGCGAGCCATGGCAACACTCTGCGGAGGGGAGGGAACCTTTTCATCTCCAGCGCGTCGAACTGTGTATCGGAAATTCTAAAGATACGCTCATTTTAAAATTATTTTGCGACGTTGTTATTGAACTGAATTTTATCGTTTAAGTGCAAAGAACATGATATTTAATAAATAAAGGTAATACAAAAAATGCCCCTTTGGACGTATTTTAAAATCTGAAACCTTTCAGTTTTTTTGTTATTATTTTATTAGATAATATAGTTTTGCGATTAATTAATATAATAACTGAAAGATAGGGAGACGTAGAATTAAGATTACTTAGTGAATGGTATCAACTAGACTTAAAAAAAGAGAATGTAGCTTTAAGGAGTTTGCTCGAAAAATTCCGAAAAGTTGAAGCTTGCAGAGTGGAAGCAAAAACAAATCTTTTTATTGAGTTTTGGTTGAAGCAAGAAGGAATGTCTATTCCTTAGACACTTTTATTAAATTTTCATGGATAATGTTGGTGCTTTTTGTGCGGCTCAGAAGCCAATACAGTTGTTCAGATTTCAGCTTAAATTTCTGATACTTCAGAGTGGTACATGTGAGCTAAGTTAAGGTACGCTGAAGAGTGCATAGGTAAGTTTTTGTTACTTGTGGAATATATTACTTAGAATACTATGGCGTTTTAACGTTGTTACGTTATGAAGTAGAGAACAGAATTAAGTCCGTGTCAATTTGAAGCAATTTGTTTTTATTAATTAAATATAAGATATATAAGTGGCGCCATCTATCGATGTATATTGCTTCGCACTTACACGACGAGACATCTATCGTTGTTTACTCTTATACATCTGTCGATGCATACTGCCGGGGGGGGGAGATAGTTCTATATCTCCCGTTCTACTGGGTCGATTGACGAAATTCAACTTGCGTTTTCATGTTTCGAAAGCGCGACTTAGGATATGTATTAGATTTATATATAGCATTTTTCTAATATATGTATTTTGGACACAAATTAGGGCTTTTTTTCTGAAATGATATACCACTTTTTTTCCATATTTCGATTCTATGAGTCAAAGTATGCCTAAAAAGCCCACCAGCGGCCGAGCGGTAAAGTCGCTGAACACTGGCAGTTCGGTCCGAGGTTCGAATCCCGCGAACGGGCTGGCTGCATGGGCGTTTTCGTGGTTTTCCCCATGTGTAACGTGTATACGAGCCAGTTTCCCTTAGAAAGTCCTCCACGAAGGCATCCCTCCTATTAGGCAGATAGCCCTCGAGGCTTTGCCATAATTACACACACACACACAAAGTATGCCTAAATAATAAATTTTGCAATATTTGAATCAAAATTTACAGAGAAATTAAAAAAAAAAATTATCTTGGCGTATTTTTTAAGTTTTTGCGCCAAGAATATTTCACTTGGTGAACTTCTTAATTTATAGCAACCTATTTTCCTTCCCTTTTTTTAATTTTAACAAAGTTCGTAAACCACATTTGGCATCATTATCGCTCATAAGAAATATGCCAAATTTCAAAACGCGGCAATATATAAAGTCACGTACATTCTAGTAAAGTTTGAATAAAAAAACTCTAATTTTTTGCAAGTATACTTTGAAATACATCTACTTTAAGATGATGGTAAAAATTTTGTAGGTTATAATTCAAATTGTTTCTAAAAAAATTATAAAAATTATAAAAATTATTTCAAAATAAAAGTTTTTAAAATAAATCATAAAAAATGGGAGAATTTTATTTAGAATGAAACTAAATTTCGAATTCTGGAAGAAGGAATCAAGTAAGTTTAATAAAAAAAGAAATATTAATGAATTTATATCAATTTCAATTAACATTGAGGAACTAAAACACTAAAGAACTAAAATCGAGTCAGCGGATTGTTTGTTTGACTGAATAAACAAATAAACCTAATAAAATTATGTTTGAGGATAAGGAATCATTAATTCCTGTAACTGGTGCTTCGTTCCAAAATTTTGCAATTTAAGTGGACTTTAGTAAATATAACATACATTGTTCCGTTGTATGTATACTTGAAACCTCTATCATAGAACATAAATATAACAGAAAACGCTGTTATGTTGAAAATCAGCTAGGAAAATGCTCATCTGGGGAAGAATATCGAATAAAGTAAGAAAATGTGTCGAAAGACAATAAGTGAAGGAAGCTGACAATCCAATAAAGACTAAGAGGCACTAACAAGGTATTTCGAGGGAATGCTTTAGTGGATATGATGACTATTAAATAAATGACAACATTACACTGCAGTTGATTGGAAAGAAGAACAACTAAGGAAAAGATAAAATACCTAATATGAAACAACGTAGAAAATGTCTTAATATAAATTTTCGAAATTCTCACATAGCCGTATATTGCAGAAGAAAGAACATTCAGCTCTCGAAAAGGGATTACGGCTTTTTAGAATACCCATAGTTTTTTAGTATTTGCTAATCATAAAAACAATGAGAATTATCGAGTTAAATGTTTATTTCAAAATTACAAACCCCCCCTTATTAAGCTCCTGACGCCACGCTTCTGGAGCGGGACGTTACCTGAAATAGTCCTGTTAAGCCAACCGGATATCCGGATCCCCTCTCGTCTGTCACCTTCTATACCACCTTTTAAAGGGCGACTGGGGATGAGGGGATCCAATCGCCAAATCCTGGTGGTGACGAATTATTGTCCACCACCTCTTAGTTCGGGTGCCACTGTAGAGTAACTGAGTTTTTTTTTAAAACAGGAGACGTGAGAAATATGCACTGCCCCCGCCGGGACTGTAACCCTGGACCTCTTGAATACACGCCGAGTATGCAACAGTTACCACTACGAAAGCATGATAGAAGGAGGGAGAAAATACCTTATACAATTTACCATCTTAGATTTTACTGTTCCATTGTTTTCTGTAATTTAATTTAAAAGTAGGACGCGCACAAAATCTGCTGCAACGTGAGAACATCGATTCTGCAAAATGACTAGATTTCAGAGATTTGTGAAGTTTGACAGAGAGTAGCTTTTCATTACAGCATCTTAGCTAATAGGATAAATACAGGGCACAGAGATAGCATCTCATTTTCGAAAAACATATTGTAAACGTACAGTGATTTGTTGCTGGCCTGAAGGACAACGACATTGCTGATCTCATTTTCGAACATAATATTGTAAACGTACAGTGATTTGTTGCTCGCCTGAAGGGCAACGACATTGCTGATCTCATTTTCGAAAAACATATTGTAAACGTACAGTGATTTGTTGCTGGCCTGAAGGACAACGACATTGCTGATCTCATTTTCGAACATAATATTGTAAACGTACAGTGATTTGTTGCTCGCCTGAAGGGCAACGACATTGCTGATCTCATTTTCGAAAAACATATTGTAAACGTACAGTGATTTGTTGCTGGCCTGAAGGACAACGACATTGCTGATCTCATTTTCGAACATAATATTGTAAACGTACAGTGATTTGTTGCTCGCCTGAAGGGCAACGACATTGCTGATCTCATTTTCGAAAAACATATTGTAAACGTACAGTGATTTGTTGCTGGCCTGAAGGACAACGACATTGCTGATCTCATTTTCGAACATAATATTGTAAACGTACAGTGATTTGTTGCTCGCCTGAAGGGCAACGACATTGCTGATCTCATTTTCGAATATCATATTGTAAACCTACAGTAATTTGTTGCTGGGCTGAAGGGCAACGACATTGCTGATCTCATTTTCGAACATCATATTGTAAACGTACATTGATTTGTTGCTGGCCTGAAGGGCAACGACATTGCTGATCTCATTTTCGAATATCATATTGTAAACCTACAGTAATTTGTTGCTGGGCTGAAGGGCAAAGACATTGCTGATCTCATTTTCGAACATCATATTGTAAACGTACATTGATTTGTTGCTGGGCCGAAGGGCAACGACATTGCTGATCTCTTTTTCGAACATCATATTGTAAACGTACATTGATTTGTTGCTGGCCTGAAGGGCAACGACATTGCTGATCTCATTTTCGAACATCATATTGTAAACGTACATTGATTTGTTGCTGGCCTGAAGGGCAACGACATTGCTGATCTCATTTTCGAATATCATATTGTAAACCTACAGTAATTTGTTGCTGGGCTGAAGGGCAAAGACATTGCTGATCTCATTTTCGAACATCATATTGTAAACGTACATTGATTTGTTGCTGGGCCGAAGGGCAACGACATTGCTGATCTCTTTTTCGAACATCATATTGTAAACGTACATGTAAACGTACATTGATTTGTTGCTGGCCTGAAGGGCAACGACATTGCTGATCTCATTTTCGAACATCATATTGTAAACGTACATTGATTTGTTGCTGGCCTGAAGGGCAAAGACATTGCTGATCATATTTTCGAACATCATATTGTAAACGTAGATTGATTTATTGCTGGTCTGAAGGGCAACGACATTGCTTATCTCATTTTCGAACATCATATTGTAAACGTACATTGATTTGTTGCTGGTCTGAAGGGCAACGACATTGCTGATCTCATTTTCGAACATCATATTGTAAACGTACAGTGATATGTTGCTGGTCTGAAGAGCAATGAAATTATTGATCTGATTTTCGAAAATCATATTGTAAACGTAAAGTGATTTGTTGCTGGCCTGAAGGGCAACGACATTGCTGATCATATTTTCGAACATCATATTGTAAACGTAGATTGATTTATCGCTGGTCTGAAGGGCAACGACATTGCTGATCTCATTTTCGAACATGATATTGTAAACGTACAGTGATTTGTTGCTGGCCTGAAGGGCAAAGACATTGCTGATCATATTTTCGAACATCATATTGTAAACGTAGATTGATTTATTGCTGGTCTGAAGGGCAACGACATTGCTTATCTCATTTTCGAACATCATATTGTAAACGTACATTGATTTGTTGCTGGTCTGAAGGGCAACGACATTGCTGATCTCATTTTCGAACATTATATTGTAAACGTACAGTGATATGTTGCTGGTCTGAAGAGCAATGAAATTATTGATCTCATTTTCGAAAATCATATTGTAAATGTACAGTGATTTGTTGCTGGCCTGAAGGGCAACGACATTGCTGATCTCATTTTCGAATATCATATTGTAAACGTACAGTGATATGTTGCCGGTCTGAAGAGCAACGAAATTATTGATCTCATTTTCGAACATGATATTGTAAACGTACAGTGATTTGTTGCTGGCCTGAAAGGCAAAGACATTGCTGATCATATTTTCGAACATCATATTGTAAACGTAGATTGATTTATCGCTGGTCTGAAGGGCAACGACATTGCTGATCTCATTTTCGAACATCATATTGTAAACGTACAGTGATTAGTTTCTGGTCTGAAGAGCAACGAAATTTTTTATCTCACTTTCGAACATCATATTGTAAACGTACAGTGATTTGTTGCTAGCCTGAAGGGCAACGACAATGCTGATATCTTGGCTAATGCTGCTTCTGCTGGAAAACAACTTTCCAATTGTTACTTAATATATAAAGAAATCACACCTCTTAACAGGATTCAGGACCACAAATAGTGGACTATTTATTAGCAAATAATTTTGGTGCTTTAGAAAATTTTAAATCATTGCTCAAGGGCAAAAAGATTTAGATTGCAGTCAAAATTCTCTCGCTTTGTCAATAGGCGTATAGAACGTTTGAACAAAGTCAGAAGATTTTTCGAACTTTCACCAAGACGAACAGGCAGGCCACTCCTGCACATCTTCGCTCTTGTTTGGAATTTTACATTATAGAGTCTCACCCTGTTTGGTAACGTAAACTGAACGGGAATTTTGGAAGACTTAAATGACTTCTCGTTACGTCTTGGAAATTACAACAGAGACTTGGGAAGGACGTTAAGAAATGGGATAGTTTTATATATCCCGTTCTACTGGGCCGATTAACGAAATTTAACTTGCGCTTTTCATGCCTTGAAAGTGCGGCTTAGGCTATGTATCAGATTTATATATAGCATTGTTTTAACATAGGTAGTTTGACACAAAATTCGGACTTTTTCTCAAACAACATACCGATATTTTCTCCATATTTCGATTCTAAGATTCAATTTATGCCTAAATATTAAATTTTGTGAAATTGGTGAGAAACTTATCGAAAAATTAAAAACATTATCTTGTACATTTTTTCAGTTGTGCCAACTGAAATACCTTAGCGAAATTCTTAATTTATGGTAACCTATTTTCCTCCCCTTTTATTGCACGCGAGCGAGAAAAAAGTGAATCGTTCATAGTTTCAAATAATTTTAACAATGTGCGTAAAGCTCGTTTGGCGTTATTATCGCTTATAAGAAATATGCCAAATTTCAAAACGCGCCAATATATAAATTCAGTTTTATATTTGGAGCTTTTGAATAAAAACTCTTAATGTTTTGCAGGTATGTCTAGAATTACATCTACTGTAATGGCAAAATTTGACAGGTTATAATTCAAAATGTTTTTCGAAAAATTTAAAAAAATTACTGAAAAATACAAATTAAGAAAACAAATATTATTAAAATAAAAATATTAAAATCAATCGATTAACAGAAGGCACTGCTCGTACATGCAGAACTAGCCAGCATTTATAGCATAAATCAAAAGTAACGAATTTATCTTAACTAAGTAAATTGTAAGTTAGCCCAACGGCTACACAGAGAGAATGAGTACAAGTTGTTTCAAACCTAACACCGGCGTAACAAACTGAATGTTGAGAATAACCTAACACCGTAGATAACTTCTAAGCAGAGATTCAACTAATAATGTCGCCTTCAGCAGCTGGAACATGCTCTGATTTTGCAATCGAAAACCTTCCTTTAAATACTACCTTTTTCTACCTCATTTGAATACACGCGAACTAGAAATTAGCACTCTCGCAGGAAAACGGAAAGCGAGAAAGACAGTAAAGAACATTAACATAAAATAAATGGTTAATAAAAGTAAATGCGTACTCTGAAACCCTAACCAACGTTACGGTATATCGTATGCTGTATTTTGAGGTTTTAGAAGTTTGTAGACCATAAATTCCATCTAACCGTGCTAGATCGTCTAAGATTAGAAATAATGACAAAAATATGTTCAAGTCTTATTCGAGTTTCATATTTCTTCCGCATGCCTTCGTGGTGTAGCAGTCAGCATGTTCGATGCATATTCGAGAGGTCCGTGATTCGAATCCCGGCGAAGGCATTGCTCATTTTTCATCTCTCCTGATTCGGAAAAAAAACCCTAATGTCTCTACAGGGGTGCCCGAACTGAAAAAAGGTGGTGGATGATGACTCTGCACCACCAGGATTTGGCGTCTGGGTCCTCTAATACCCAGCTGCCCTTTAAAAGTGGAAGTATATAAAGTATTTCTTCCGCCGTCAAAGCATGCCTTCGTTGTGTAGTAGTCGGCACGCTTGGCGCGTATTCGAAAGGTCCGTGGTTCGAATCTCGGCTTGGGCATGTTCTATTTTTCATCTCTTCTACTTCAAAAATTTCCTAATATTTCAACACGGGTATTTGGGATTTACGATAACGCTGGTTTCAATCAATCTGAAGTTTAGATGTTTTATTCTATAGTTGTATTTTTTGAGATAAACAAGCTGAGAAAACCAAGAGGAAGTATAGAAATATAAAGAAGTTTGTTAAAAAAAGAGCAAAATATTTGTTGCCGTTTTTTATCCTTCTTATTTTCAAAAATGCAAAATAAAATTACTGCGAAATGATCTAGGTTCTAAATAACCTGAGACTGAAAACCATTGTGATAAAAAACTAATTTAAACCATCAATTTCAGACATTACTTTCAAATGTAAAAGTAAATTAATGTAAGTAATAATAATAATAATAACTGTTCATCTCATGTTTCATTGCGAATCTAGCACTTCAACATCACATATACTTTCTTTGAGGCTGTTAAGAAAACTATATTTACGTAAGATCTGTTGTAACCATAAAATTTACGTAAAAGCTACTTAAAAATTCCCAGACAGCCATTATTTTATTATCACTAAACATTTCCTATCGCTATATAATAAAAGCTACATTTTCCTGAATTGAGGTTTCTGAATATGTAAAATATATCTTTTGGAATTTATTTCTAGCACCATTTTGGCAACATCAGCTCGTTATTTACTAAAATATTACATTAAAAAATTTCAAAACGAACTGTTCTGTTAAACATTATAAACTTACTCACGTATAATAATAATAGGTATTACATTTATGTTTCATTGCTTCATACAATAGTTGAGCGATACTTTAATGTTTCTTTAGTTCATAAAGTTTATGCGGTACTTTGAGATCTTTTACGATCATAAAATTCACGCAAAACTCTATTTAAATTTCCGAATATTCCTAACATTATTGCCATTCAGCATGTACTATTTTTATACAAAGAAACTATTTTTTTTTCGAAAGGAAATGTCTTGAACATTATCAAAGATGTCTATGTACTCGTAGTTTATGTTTTTCATCGAACTTACATGTTGCCTCTGTTTGTAATCGAAAAGCATTGCTTCGATATTTCCTGCGCGGAGCAATTTTCTAGAGTTGAGCTTTATGGAAAAAGCTTCTGAAACATTTACTTTTACGTTTTTTTCCACTTACTTCGATCACAGAGCGTCTAAATTCAAGATGGAAGTTCACGGAAACGCTGTTTTAGCTTGCGTTTGAAGCTCGACAAATTATTATTTTTTCAGCAAAATGGTATTTTTTACGACCTACTTCTCTACCATTTCCCATAACAGAGTGAAGCGAATAATAGCATCATAGTGAATATGTATGCTTTTGGACTTTTTTCTCAACAACGATTTTCGCAACGCCAGTTCAGCGTTTACAAGAGTATCAAAAACAGACTGAAAAATGCGCATGCGCGTTAATCGGACTAGCCCTCTTTGGGGAAAAAAGTTCACTTCGCGAAAATGGGAACAGTTGTTGTTGCCAAAAGTACTTTGCTTCGGGAGCGAGGAGAATGTTTTTCTCCGTAGAATTTACGGGCCATTTGCCATATAGCTCTTACACGAATATCAGATTCGATTGATCGGTGGACAAAAATTCAAAATTGTCGGCATTATATTTTCATTCATCTGATGATGTAGAGGGTTGTTCGCACACTTTTTAGACGAATTTTATTGTAATTCATAAGTATTTTACCTAAAATATTTACGTTTTAAATGTTCTGTTTGATAACGCTTGTTCTTCACCGTTTTCATACACCGTAATTTGCAAGACAATAAAGCCTTTTCTAGGAGCGGAAGAGGTATTTTATCCCATTGCTCTCCAACAGATTTCCAAAGTCTAAGGAGGTGGCAGGTCGACGTTTTGACAACCCGCTCTTTAAAAGAGCGAAAGCGCAAAAATATATTCCTTATAGATCAGGAGATTTAGTAGGGATCTGAGTGAAGGATATGGCTTTGATACTCGTTTCTTGTTCCCTTTTTTCCTAGAAAAAATAACAGTAGATTTTGATGTGTCACTGCTTGCTTTGTCTTGATGTAATTCTGCTGATTTGATCACACCGTGTGTAAAGAGAGGGTATTCCGTATTTGAAAATTGGGTATAAAATACGTTTCTTTATTATATGCGGCTTAAGTGTCTGTTGGTTGCTTGCGTAACTGTGCTATCCAATGGGCTGAAGTTGCCACGGCATTCAAATAGTCCATATACACTGATACATACATGCAGTTATCATTGTTTTAATTAAATTATCATGGTATTTAAGAACATTTAAATATTTTTAATTCATAAAATTGTTGCTTATTATGCATTTAACTATATTTAAATATGAATTACCTAGAAACTTGCAAACTTTGATAAATTAAAGGAGACTAAACCAACTAACGAGTTGTGCGTAGTACACCTCATCAGGTAGGTTTACCCAAACTCATATGCTAAATATCCTTTTTATTCCGACATCCTATTTTAAACTGAATTTTCAGATGAACGCAAATTGAGCGTGTCAGGGGGAACGTGAACATTTGTTTGCATTAGCAATCATCTGTTTTTGAAATGGTTTACAACTGAACGCAAGAAATCGTGAATGAACGGACGTAAAATAAAAAATAATAGATGGTCCTCTGCAAGGCGAGCTTAAAAATGATGGAAAGATCTACGCAAGAAATGTTGAGTAGAAAGAGATTTTTGACATGTGAATGAACATTTTATTATTTAAATCAGCTTTATTTATTGAGCTAGCGGTGGCTCTTAAGAAATGTACCGCCAGTGCTTTCCTTCATTGCAGTCTACTTTAAGCAATTAAGCAAGTAGAAGGGGGAAAGCCCGTGGGGCAGTAAGTGAAGGGGCGTCCTCGCCGCCTGCCCTGGGTAATTCAGTTTGAAAT